TTTCCCTTCCTGAGGTGGGTAGGAGTGTTCTTCGTTTCACGTTCAGGAGGAGCCCCAAAGAGGATGCTGCTCCCGGCTCCGCTTTCTGGGATCAGCTGCTTTCCCAGCTGCCCACACCATGTCTGCATGATCCTGCCCCATGTCGTGATCTTGCTGGGCTGCTGGAGCAAGGAACTAATTTGAGGAATGTTGCTTGGGGAGAGGAGCGAAGGCATTTTGTTGTGCAGATGCTGACAGCTGCCTCCTGGGGCTGGGGACTGGGCAGGGACACCCACCACATCCCGGGACACCTACTGTATCCAAGCTCTGCTCATCAGACCCCACCACACAGCCCAGTCCCCTCGCAGAAGGGGATTTGGGATGGGATTATGGGGTAGGCTCTCCCTCTTCAAACAGGGGGTGCTGCTCAACTCCAGGACCAGCCCCTGCGGCTTTCAGATGTGCTTGTGCTCAGTGGGCAGCTCCATCCAGCCCTTCGCACACCCAGCTCTGCTCTGCCACCCAGCTTGTGTGGTTCAGGCTGTACCCCTCCTGTCTGTGGTGAGGACCCCTCCTCCTCCTCCCCATCCTTTCTCAGCAGCAAAACCCACTGGCAATTTTCAGCTGCAGCCGATGGGAGCAACCCCATATTGGCCTTTGGTTCCCTCCATACAGAGCATCTTTTAAAAATACCTGTTTAAGAACCTGATTAAAAGGCAGTGGGGCTGGGGGATTGCTGGGGTAGTACGAGGTGATGGCTTCACGGGGATTGCCTACAGCTTAGTGGATCCCTTTGCTTTGTTTTAATTTTCTCTCAATTTCTTCCTTTGGAAATGCCTCAGCAGCAAATGCTGCCCAGCCCTTCCTGCTCCCCGCTCACAGGATCTATTCCAGGACTTTCGGAGGGGCAGGATGAGGCCTTCGCCCACCACAGCTGCCCCCATTCCTGGCTCTGCCGTACCCCATAAGTGCAATCCTGGCTCTGTGAAAGAGACACCATGGGGCACAGTGCTTATGGTCGCTCCACAACTTGGGTTAGAAGTGGCCTGTTCACAGGCGAAGTGTTTTTTCCTGGCCAGCAGGGCTGAGAGAAGTGTCTTGTCCTTGATGGAGACCCCAAATCCTGGACTTTTGGGTGATATGGGGCTGGAAGGGAAAAGCAGGAGCTCTGCTGAGCAATGGCTTTGAGAGCCGCTTCCTTCGAGAAGGGCTTTCTGGCTGGCAGAGCTGCTTGCTACCACTCTGAAGAGGAACAACCTCTGGAAGAGGTAATTAGGGTGATCCCATCCTGATCTCCTCAACTGTGGCGACAAGTCACGAGTCATTCACCAGCAGCCACTCCAAGCCCATTTTGCATTAATTAGGCTGTTTACAAAACACTGTAAATTGCAGTAATGAACACACTGTTCCTTGGTTTCCTTTAATTATCCATTTGCATGATGAATGAGCTGGTCCCCACTGCAGCTCTCCTTTCGGCAGAGGGACCATGCAGCAGAGTGTGGGTTAGTATGGGATCTACCATGCAGGGTGGGCAGAGACCTTGGGAGAGAAGGAAATGGAGAAGGAGAAGGAGGAGGAAGAGGAGAAGGAGAGGGGACTGCAGGGAAGGGGCAGTCAGTGGGGTTTGAGCAGCCAGAACCCCATTTCAGTGGGGTTTGAGCAGCTGTTTCACACCAGGCTCGGAGCCTGGCTCTCGGACTTTGATTTTTTCCATAGGAAGCAGCACAGAAACCTTTCAAAGCATTTAATCCTCCCCAACTTGGCAATGGGGCTGCCTGGAAAGGCAGGGGAGGAGCGGCGGCATTTCTTGCCCCCCGCATACCTTCCCCTTTTCTTTCCCTTTTGACTTAGCGGATGAATTCCAGAGATGTTAATCCGCTCTCAACCCTTCGGTGGAGAATAAAACGCCCTCTCTGTGTGGGAGGAAGGAATTCATTCGAATTAATTGCGGGAAGGAACGGGGAGCTGGGGGTGCATGTGAGGCTGTGCTGAGGGTGGGGTGAGCATCCTCCGCCGCTCAGTGGTTCCCAAAGGGGAGGGAGGGATGAACGAGGGGACTGGGTTATCCGAGGTGGCACAATCTGCACATTCATGGCCAGAGGCTTCAGACTCTGCCCCAGGCTTAAAAATGCCAACCATGTGGTCTGTAGGCTAGGCCTGGCAACAGCAGCAGACACAGGGAGCGAGTGGGGGGCAAAACAGCCCCACTCAGCAGTCTTGGGGTGTTGCTGCCTATAAAGGGAAGGGAAGCAGCATCCCGCTGGGCTGGGGTGATGGGAGCCGCAGGGTCCGGCCCATCCTGGGGGCACACAGAGATGGGGCAGGAGAGACGGAGAGAGGAAAGGGTCTGAGTTTGAGCTGGGTCAGCCCATTGAGGGTGTGTGGAGGTGAACATGGAGTGAGAGCAGAGGAGAGGAGAGGCCGCCGGGATGGGCCAGGTGCTGTTCTGTGCGCTGGGAGGTCGGTATGGGTGCAGAACGGGATTCGTGTGGGATCCTGGGATCCATGCAGGGTGCTGTGGTCTCTGCCTCCTGCCCTGACCTTCGCCTCCTCTCTTTGCAGAGCTCCTGGGATCTGCCAAGCGGCTGAACGTGAACTACCAGGATGCGGATGGGTGAGTGCTCCCTGGGCAGGCTGCTGGGTGCTGCTGCTGCCAGCATGGGTGGGCTTGCTCTCCAGTTGGTTCTGTGGCTCTGGGTGTCACAGAGCTTTCAGGAGTAGCTGCTGAGCCACAGAGAACACAACAGCACCCCAAAAGGGTGCTGTGTCCCAAAGCCAGGGCAAGCCTTGCAGAGGCAGAGCCAACGCCTGCCCTGGTGTGAGCTGAGGTCTGTGCTCAGTCCATCCTGAAAAACCTTTCATAAAGCTCTTCTGCATCCCCCTCCATAGGACTGGAGGTGAAAAGGGAACACAGCGAGTGCAGCCAGTGCCCCGTGTCCTGCGTGGCGGTTAAAGCACAGATCACCCGGCCAGCCATGGCTCCTGCATATGCTTGTGTCTGTGTTTAATATCCCAAGAGCAAAATCCCTTTGTCTGGTGGGGGGTAGATAGAGAAAGAAAAGATGAGGTTGCCCAGTGACCACAGCATATTTGTGTAGCTCATCACTTCCAAAATCCAAGCACTTAATAAGCTGGATACTGAGAGTTAAAGAAACCACAAAGGCCCATAAAATAAATAAGCATGTTATTCTTATTGAATTAACCCTGACCTGTGAGTTATTAACATCGTTTTATGTACTGTTGTTGTGCCTAATTTCTACATGTTTTCTTTTCAAGGACTCTGTAGGAAGAGGTGTCCGTTATGAGTCCTAACAGGCCAGTGGGGGGTTGAAAATGTGCAGGATGGCTCTGTCTTAAAATAATACTGTGCAGATGGAGCTTAATAGAAAAAAAATGCAATAATGGAAGCAATGATCTGATTCCGATCAGGCACAGGGCTTGCACTCAGGCAGCTCCAGGAGGGCTGCTGATGGGAGCAAGGGTCAAGGGTCCCTTCCCCGTCAAAGCCACACATGGCATTTGGGGCATTAACAGCACTGGCAGCATGCTGGGTTTTGCTGAGGCGCAGGGAGGGGGACGACAGGGAAGTGAGACCCGTGCATGGGGATGGTGGCATCGTGCACCCTCCCATGAGAGCCGCCGGTGGTGTCCTCGGCATCCATCACCTTGTTTGCAGCTTGGAGGTGATGGGGTGGGCGAGCACGGGTTTGTGCGGCTGCATCCAGGGTTGGCCCCACAGCGATCCCGCAGGATTGGCTCAGAGGGATTTTGTACCCGCCCTGTTCCTGCTTTGAGGCAGAGGTGTTGGTGTGGTCTCAGGGACATGGTGGCTGCATTGAAGGAGGGAGCAGCATCCCTTCTGTGATTCCCAGGGACCCTGCGCAGGGATTTGGGGGTATCCTGGGACTGCAGGTCAGGAGGAGAGCCGTGGCAGCCGGGTTGTGTCCAGCACGGGACTGGGACACTCCCGAGCCCATTGGAGGCCCAGGCTGGCGCTGTCTGGAGCCCCCCGCACCCCTTGGAGCAGCACACGGGCTAATCTCCAGCGGCACAGAGACCCCTCTCTTGGCCGTGGCCCTTCACGTGACAGCATGGGGGGAGCGTTGGGCAGACAGACCCCTTTCACAGCCCCGAGACACAGGGCTCTTTCATTACGGACGGCCTCCCACGCTGTGCCGTGGGCTCCCGGCATCTCTGCTGGCACGGGATGGGGGTGGCTGTTGGAGGGGCCAGGAGTAGCTGCAGGGCCGGTGTGTTTGCTGGATGCAGCTCCGGGCTGCCTGGCTGCAGTGCAGAGTGGGGAGATGCATCTCTCTCCATGCCGCCTGCTTCCTCTGGCACAGGGACCCCAGGTCTCAGGGAGACCACATCCCTGTAACCCTTGCTGAGCCCTGGGGCACAGACAGCATGGAAGGACTTAGCTCTGCTTTGCTATGGGGAAACTTGAGGCACTGGGAGTGAGGAATCAGGAAGGATGTAGCCGTGAACTGCCAGTGACCATCCTGGCCCTCAGCCCATGTTCCTGTGCAGGCAGGGGCTGCAGGGACAGCACAGCCGGGACTGGGACCGGGCTGAGTCCTGCCTTGTGTTGCAGGTTCTCGGCGCTGCACCATGCGGCCCTGGGTGGCAGCCTGGACCTCATCTCGCTGCTGCTGGAGGCACAGGCCACTGTCGACATCAAGGACAGCAATGGTAAAGGATGACCCCCCAGCACGGCCTTGTGCCTCTGGCAGCCGGCTCAGTCCTCTGAGCGAGGCCAGGGGCCGCATCCAGCCCTGCTGAGCCCCGTTCCCCTGCAGGGATGCGCCCCCTGCACTATGCAGCCTGGCAGGGGCGTGTGGAGCCGGTGCGGGTGCTGCTGCGTGCTGCTGCCTCCGTCAACATGGCCTCGCTGGATGGGCAGATCCCGCTTCACCTCTCGGCACAGTACGGCCACTACGAGGTGGTAAGTGAGAGCCCAGCACCACCTGTGTACCCACTCTGGGTCTCTCTGGGGGTGCACTGGTGAGGGCAAAGCCCATCATGCCAGGTGGGAGGGTGGCAGAAGTGTGGGGTGATGCTGAGCCCCAATACCACATTGCTCCCCCACAGTCAGAGATGCTGCTCCAGCACCAGTCCAACCCCTGCCTCATCAACAAAGCGAAGAAAACCCCCCTGGACCTGGCATGCGAGTTTGGGCGGCTGAAGGTGAGTGCTGCTGGGCTCTCCCCTGAACCGGGCACTTTCCAGGGGTGGCTCTGGAGCCGCTGGCTCCTCCAAGAGCAAAACGCTGGGTCTAGCTGCGACCGCTCTCCCTCCAGCAAGAGCCTCGGAGCCCGACAGGCAGCACCCACCTCCTCCCACGGGTGGGCAAGGCCAAATCCTGGACGTGGGAGTTGCAGGTTTTGCTCCTGACCTCGTGAAGCCAGAAGCCATGAGTCCTTGCTCCTGGTTCCCTGCAGGCTCCCTCTGCCCGCCCCTGCTTTGCTCCCATTTTCAGCACAGATAGGCTGAGCTGGCTAAATCCCTGCAAGCCCTGAATGCCTGGTCCTGCTCACTGCTTGAGGTCCCTGGCATGGCTCATGGGGACAGGGCCACCCCATGCTTTGGAAGACCCCAGCCCAATCAGCACCGCACCACCAGGCTGGGCTGGAGGACGGCCAGCCAGACCGTCCCATGCCTCACCAGGGAGGGGGCCGGGGGGATATTTCCATTTTTGGAGCATCTATAACGTCTGCAGCTATAAACAGGGCAGTAAAAATAACTCCTTTGTGCCTCTGGGCTGCCCTGAGATGCTGAGAGTCGCTCTGGGCTTGGAGAGACTGGAGCTTTTTAGGGCTTGGTCTGAAAAGCCCATTATGGGAAGACTATTTCTGGCTCTTGTGACTTTTTATGGCCCCTCAAAGCAGTGTGGCTCCCGCCAAGCACAGCCAGCTCTGGCCGAGCCCTGGGGCTGTCAATGAAGGAGAGTGGTGGGATGGAGAGCAGAGGGTGATCCCCTTGCTGGGAGGCTGGAGGTAGGGATACCTATACCCCACTGCTCACCCCTGTGCCCTGTGCAGGTGGCCCAGCTGCTGCTCAACAGCCACCTCTGCGTCGCCCTCCTGGAGGGACAGTCCAAGGATGCCACCGACCCCAACTACACCACCCCATTGCACCTGGCAGCCAAGAACGGACACAAGGAGATCATCAGGTAACCCCCTGCCAGCCCGGGGCACTGCCGTATCCCGGAAAACCCATCACGGCTTCAGTCCTGCTTCCTCCCAAGCCCACCTCCCACCGCGAGCTTCAGTCCTTCGTCCCGAAAACCTCAGCAGTGCAAGGGGTTGTCCCCTTCCCATCACAAAGCAGCTGATCACCTGGCCCTGGTGTCCATGTCCTGCCATTCATGCCTCTCCCTCCTTCCTACCAGGCAACTGCTGAAGGCTGGGATCGAGATCAACAAGCAGACGAAGACGGGCACAGCACTGCACGAGGCTGCACTTTATGGCAAAACAGAGGTGGTGAGGTTGCTGCTGGAGGTGAGTGCAGTGGGGATGAGCCTGAGGGTTGGCCATTGTCCCCTTTCCCTTGGTGCCTCTGCCTCCCGTGGCAGGTTTGGGGTCTGGCTCTGACCACCTCCCCTCCTGGGCAGGGTGGTGTTGACGTGAACATCAGGAACACCTACAACCAGACGGCACTGGACATTGTCAACCAGTTCACCACCTCGCATGCCAGCAAGGACATCAAGCAGTTGCTGAGAGGTGAGGTGGGGCCGGCACATGGCCGGACATTGCCTGGCACTGAGAGGGGTTTCTTTCCCATGGGACCTGCCCGGGGCTCCCAGCACTCCTCCTGAACAGCCTAAACCAGCCTAGCTGTGAGCATCACCATCCCAGTCCTGTCATGCATCTTCCCATCCTCTCCCTGTGGTCAGTGTCCAGGGACTGAGTCCTTCCTGCAGCATTAATGTTTTCTTCTTCCCTCTCCTCACTCTTGTTTTCTCCCTCTGCCTTCCCGGAA